GCCGGACAATCATGAATTCCAGGTAATGTGGAAGCCATTGCGTTGGAAATCATTTTATTTTGTTTCTCTACGCACGGTTTACAAATCCGTGACTTTCTATAATCAGTGACAGAGATACTTAAACGTAATTAAGCATAATAGTTAATCGTTACGCCTGTTCGGATAACATGAAAGCATGTGGAAGAGCTAACAGCTGTCTACAGAAACAACAGGAAAAGGGGGTACGCAGCAGTGTCGTGAAGCAGCGTTGCGTGACAACATAAAGAGACTAGATTGGCTTCATCTGTAGAACTGCTTGTCTACTTTGATGTTCTTATCGCCAGTCAAGCAATCCTGCCAAAGAGCTGAAACAAGCAGTTTTTTTCACATAGTCTATCTCATTAACTCTGAAGTACGATAATTTAGTTTGACAACCCTTGTTGGGCAGGATTGTGTGACGAGTCATGCCAAATGCAAAGGAATGTCTGTGAAATTTAACTTAATCAATGGTTTGAGAAAACTGAAGCTAACAGTTTCCACAGCCTAAGTCTGATTCATATTTGGAAATCATTCTTTTTAAAAAATGGAAGTGCTTACTCATTCCAGTGCTTATTATCACAGTTTATTTTTTCGACTCAATGTCGTTTTAAATGGGATTTTAAACTGCTAGAGTGCATAAATCTTCTGTCGCACATTGGGCAATTATACCGTGCTTCTCCAGTGTGGGTGCGAATATGCTCTCTTATGTATTCTCTGCGGCTAAACCTCTTTAAACAAACCCAGCACTCGAAAGGCCTTTCACCTGTGTGGATTCGTTTGTGTTGCTTAAGATGACACTTTATAGCGAAGGCCTTCTCGCACTGGTCACACTTAAAAGGCCTTTCATTGGAATGCTTCAAAGCTTTATGTCTGCGAAGGATCGAGGGATGCGCAAAGGCTGCGTTACACTGAGAACAAACATGTGGTCTTTCTCCAGTGTGACTAAATTTGTGCTTCCTTAGACCCGTTGTGCTTTTGAATGCCAAGTCACACTGGTCACATTTGTAAGGCTTCACACTGGAGTGTGTTTTCTGGTGTGTCCCAACATCTTGCGGCCTCTTGAAGCGTTTACTGCACTGTGGGCATTGGTAAGGCCTCTCGGTTGTGTGTTTCAGAATAAAATGCTCTTTGAGGCTTTGACGAAGCGTGAAGCACTCTCCACAGGTCAGGCATTTGTGAGGCTTCTCTTTAGTGTGAGTCACTTGGTGTCTCCTGAGGCTTGCTTTACATTTGAATTTTCTGCCACACGTTTCGCAGGAGAACGGCTTTTCATCAAAGTGAACCCTCTGGTGACCTTTCAGACCCTCGAGAAGTCGAAAACGCTTTGGGCAGCGATCACATGCGTGAGGAAGTCCTCCCGTGTGTATCAGCTCATGCGTCTTAACGTAAGCCTTTTGACGGAAGCGCTTTCCACAAACGTTGCATTCAAATGAGCACTTTTGTCTCAAATGAGCGTCTTTTTGTCTCAGCCCTTTGGAATTGCTTGCAAAGGTCTTGTCGCATTCCACGTCGCACTTGTAGCCTGATGTCACGGTAGCATTTTCGGGCTCCGTTTTTTGCTCTTCGTCTGTTTTCAATTCTGTTTTCTCAGACATTTTGAATATTATGCCCTGGAGCGAAAAAGAGTGTAAATATCAAATAAAGTTTCAAAAAATAGCTTGGGTTTACAGCAATCCTTGCAGCCAAATTATCTCATAGTCCCTGCTCCTGCTCATAGTCATAGTGCCGATTAGGTAATTTTATAGTCTCGAAGCAGGACCTCCAAAACGCCTTCCTTTAAAGAAGGAAAGGATATAACTAACTGTGTATGAAAAACACTTGCCACTAAAACAGGGCATACTTGTACATTGATGTTTTCCACGGCTAATATTTAGTTTTCTGCAAGCTCTCTCGACTTGATGAAGAGCCTTCTTCCAGGCTATTTTAAAACAAGTTTTTGGATAGTTCTTCCTTGTTTTAGCGATTTAGCTTCGAAAAATAGAACAAGTTCTTAAATTATCTCTCGTTTGCTTTGGAACAACAAACTTTGTATCGAGTTAACTGATTATTTGGAGTGCGTTACGTATAGTAATGTATGCAACATTCATTTTTTTATGCACAAAACGAAAGTGAATATAGATGAAACGGATTAACTGAGCTGTCGGCGTTGTCCTCGTGGCGATTCTCTTACCTCTGTAAAAAGAAAGTACGCATCCCTTTTCTTTAAACCAACTACCATAAGTTTTTATCTTCATATCTTAAGTAACTGTTAATGTTATAACGATTTAATTAAATTTAAGCTTGACAGCTTTTATCCGTCAAACACGCCTAAACCAACTAAAATCTCAGATACATTCTGCTAATTTAGCTTCCATAAAATACCACTGTTAGAAAATTCATGCACTATGAAAAACAAACCTGTTCTTTGGTGCAAAGAGAAGGTTGTACAATTTGTCGTACAATGGTGCAACTTGATGTTTATCTTATCGCTCCGTTTTGCACTGAGTCTCATGAATGAAATGTTGACAAAGATGTTTTGTTTTATGTAGCAGACACGTGACTGACATGTGGCCAGGTGGCACACTTTTGAATGAAAATCCCAGTATGAATTGTCACACAACACTTCACCGTGACAATCACAATTCCTTGAAAGAAGAACTTTGTGAGCTCTTTTTAGGGGCTGCGCGCAACCGGGCATTTGAAAATAGCCGGTTTTCCTCGCTCCTCACGTCCCCAGCGGCAAAAAGCGAGGAGAAACAGCTGTTTTCGCATGCTAGCGGAATTGGGCATTTGACAAAAAAACGTTTTGGGGGTGGGGATGTCATCTTTCCTAAGGCAGGATAAGAGATTTGAAAAATGTCGATTTTTGCGAACAAGCTGGGGGACTTTGTGAGCTCTTTTTAGGGGCCGCGCGCACCCGGGCATTTGAAAATAGCCGTTTCTCCTCGCTCCTCACGTCCCCAGCGGCAAAAAGCGAGGAAAAACGGCTGTTTTCGCAGGCTAGCGGAATGGGGCAATCGACAAAGCCCTGGGGACGATGTTGGTGGGGGATGTCAGATCTTCCCTGAGGTAGGATAAGAGATTTGAAAAATGGCCATTTTTGCTTCAAGTTGCTACGGACAAAATCGTTGGGACATGAAACAGTTCAAAGAAAAAATCGTTTGTCGTGTCTCAAAAAGTTCTGTTTATTTAACAAGATCAATGAATTAAAATAGAGATCAAATCTAAAAGCCTGTTTGGCAGGCGCAAAAAGGGGATGTTGGGGGGGGGGGGACAACAACAACAACGAAAAGGGAAAAGCTCAAATCCTGCTTCAGTCATTTATTTCCGTATTATCGATTTTCCCAATCTCTATCTCTTTTTTGGACCCTCTTCCCTTAATGCCCCATGAGACACCTGTCATGTAGGCGACAAGTCTAACAGAATTTCTAGAAGAAACACACTTCTTTTTCGATACAAGAGGACTCCTCGGCCTGGGAACTAACCTTGGGAGCAAAGGTGGCGCAGTGGTGAGAGTACTCGCCTTCCAACAATACTGAACTCACTTTAACGATAAAGTCTTTTCGATCTTGCTGGCAACCTCGTTCCCAGGGTTCTCTCCTACCCGCCCAACGGAGCGAGAGAGGGCGGGTAGGAGCGAACCCTGGGAACGAGGTTGTCTTGCTGGCTCTATGCTATCGTTACAAATATTATTTAGACCTCTTGATTGCTACAGATTTTTATCGATTGACTACTCCGGGACTTACAGACGCTTCGACAAAACCGGAACCCCGTCTGAATCAGTGTCAGTTTTACACATTCCCGTGAGGCGCCAGCTGCAGTTTGCGGACGCTAGTTTTCTGCTTCCCAAACGGCGTCTGCTCTGAACCTGAAGCTGTAAATGAGAGTTCAAGTTCTGAATGTGTCGCCATTCTCCCTAAATTTAGTTAAGCGTCTTTGTTAATAAAATGCAATTATATGTTTTTAACTGAAAGTGCTACTATGATCAAATATTTTCTCTAAACGGCAAAACTAGCCAAAAAAACGAAAAACAAAAACAAAAACAGCAACCAAGGCCAA